ACGCTGAAGTAATTCATAAGTTAAATTGATGCTTCTTAACGATACTCCTGGGATTTTTGCTCAGTAAAAAATGTTCTCAAATACGCACAAGTGAGATGTAAAGAAAGAAGATCAAGCGACTAACAATCAACCGATTATGCAAAAATCGACTAAATGAAAAACAATATTTAAGAAAGATACAATCAAAGAAAAAACAGATAAACGAATTCAAACCTGCAGCTCATCCCCATGAGCAGGAGAAAGAAGTAAACAGAACATATCACACATATCAACCACAGATACCTCAGACTGACCAACACCTGAATGCATGAAAATATGGATCAATCCATTGATAATAATGATATAAACTCATTACCAACAGTTTCGATGACAACGACATCATAACCAGCTCCTTCACAGAGAATTATGGCTTCGTGGATACCTCTCGTTACTCCACCAAGTGATCCTAAAATTTGCTAACTTAGTCTGATCCTTTCCCGCACACTGTATAATTTTACTTTCATACCGCTTGTGGGCGACTGCCTGATGTACGCTCTCGGATTCCGTGATAGTTCCTGCATCCTTGTCAGATCACCAAGCACAGACCCTTAGACAAATAATGTCGCTGGTCAAATTATGTAAATTTAAAAAAGCACAAATTTACCTCCCGTTACGGCACTTGAAGGATCAATAGTAAGCACAGCAATCTTGAGTCCGCGCTTTTCTGTAAGCTCTCTACCAAATGCTTCGATGAATGATGATTTTCCAACACCGGGACTTCCAGAGATACCTAGAATACGAACAGTGGGAATCTTCACAAAGTAAATCAATGATAGCGTGAATGAAGAAAGATTCAAACATCATACCGATACGGAAAATCATCGAATCCTTTCCTTTTTCTACGTAACGTTGCCGTTCTGCAGCTAACACAGTCTGAACAGATACAAAATTTTATGGAAACTAAAGTTTTGATAAGAGGTGCCAATTTTTGCTAAACAGATATAAAACCGTTCAAATTAATTCTTCAGCATTAGAAGCAAAGAGAAAACTACAGAAGATAAAG